GCAGGAGCAGGAGCAGCAGCAGCAGTGGACCAGGTGCTACCAGTGGTAACAGTAGTCCTCGCCGTGTTCATCGTCGTCCTCCTCCTCCGAGTTGTTAAGATGCTCGACCTCGCAATTGCCGCACATCACCCGTGGCTTTTAGGTGAACTTCGACTACTACGCCTCGAGCTGGATTCGCCTGGGCACCCAGAGTCAGGGATCCGCAGCACCCATATTCACAAAGCTTACACCCCTGGAGTTTCTGAAGACATTATCCCTAAACCCTAAACCCTAAACCCTAAACCCTAAACCCGAGACAGCCCACAGCGCCTGAGGCCTAAAGCTTCAGCTAGTTCTTGTTTTCTTTCGAGCTGCCCAGGCCGGCAGTACGAGCGCGTCTCGGAGTCGGTCATGTTCCACGCGCCATGGCGTTCAGAAACCCTGAAGTCTTTTGGATGTCTCAATACTATAAGGATTTAGGGTTTAGGGTTTAGGGTTTAGGGTTTAGGGGAGTCTTTTGGATGTCTCAATACTTTAAGGAGCAGCAAAGAGCCTCACCGTCACTAGCTGACTACATAGTTACTACATAGTTCTACCATAATATAGCCCTCCCAAACCCTATTCGAATAGTTCCATAGGGGATTCCGAGACCCGAACGCTTCACAGACCCTGTAAAGGCTTCAAGGAACCGACGAAACTGATGCACGGCCTTTTAAAAGGACCCCAAGAAGCTCCCTGCATGACGCTGTGTTGAACCCTCAATCCGTCCTCAAGGGGCGCAGAAATCCTCAAATGACCAATCCCAAACATCCGACGACTCTGAACCCTACAACAACACCCTAAGCCCCTTAACCCACTAGTAAAGGTTCTAGAGTCTAGGGTTTAGGGTAATTTAGGAGTACCTTCACAGTGACCCTCGTAATACCGTTTAGAAATCTTAGAGCCCCAGACCTAGCCTAAACCCCAATACACCGTAAACCCAAAACCCTAATACACCCTAAAGCCCAAATGCACCCTGAACCCTCAACACCCCCCCCCAAAAAAAAATTGGCCTTAAACCCTACACCCTAAATCCTAAACCCTACCCCCCCCTAAACCCTAAACCCTAAACCCTAAACCCTAAACCCTAGACCCTAAACCCTAAACCCAAACAAAAAAACCTCTCCAGAGCAAAACCACCGCCTTCCCCGGAGGTGCTGCACCACAGCTACCGGCTCGTCGAGTTGGCCCTGAGGCCCCGAGCCCGCTTTTGCCCTTTTGGGCTTTGGAGGGGTTTGTTTGGGGTTTAGGGTTTAGGGTTTAGGGTTTGTTTGGGGTTTAGTAGGCTTTGCAGAGGGTTTTTCAACAGGTTTTGAGGGGTTTTATCGGGGTGCATATAGGGGCTTGGAGGATTTTTGTAGGTTTTTTTCTGTGGTTCTTTTGGTTTATAGGGTTTTAGAGGGTTGGATAGGGTTTTCACAGGGCTCAGTTTACCTCTCGGGGTTTGGTTTTTCGGCTCTGGAGGTTCCGGTGTTTCGAGCTCATGTTACCAACGCCTTTGGCCCTACACCCTAAACGCTAGCTGAAACCCCTACACCCTAGCTGAAACCCTAGTACCTAGACCTAAACCCTAAACCCTAGAACACGCTAAGCTGAATGGTTCCCTCGTGATTCCATCGCTTGCCCTGGCTCTTTTCCTCCCAATCCCCAAAGCACCAAAGGCCTCCAGCAACAACCAAACCGGGTTTAGGGTTTTGGGTTTAGGATTTAGGGTTTTGGGTTTAGGGTTTGGGCTTTAGGGTTTAGGGTTTAGGGTTCAGGTTTAGGGTGAGTTTCCGCGTCGAAGAGGAATCGCTAGGATGCTCCGCGCGGTGCCTTAGTCGAGCAAACAGGGCTCGAGTTTCAGTGAATCCTGAACTCTACACCTCAGAAGCCCCCAAGAAGCCTCAACCCTCCATCCCCAAAGTCCCCAAAAAGGAGCCCCCAACAAAAACCCCGAAGCCCTAGGGTTTAGGGTCTAGGGTTTCTTTTTTAGGGTTTAGGGTTTAGGGTTCAGGGTGTAGGGTTTAGGGTTTCTTTTTTAGGGTTTAGGGTTTAGGGTTCAGGGTTTAGGGTTTAGGGTTTAGAGTTTGGGTTTAGGGTTTAGGGTTCCCTATAGCCCCAACTCCGAGAAGCCGTGCACCGCCTCGACCTCGAGCCAGGATCCTCACTCTACTCGGATTTGCCGTGGTCCTGAGGCCCCCTTCCGGCAGTCGGGCACGGGGCGGGAGATGGTAGCGTAAGATAGCGGCCTTAAGAAGACATTGCAATAGTAGGGGTTTAGGGCATATGATGCTATAATTAGACTAAGGAGCCGGGTGCCTTAATATTTAGAATAGGGTTTTGGGGTATATTATGCTATAATTATAAGAAGGAGCCCCCAAAATAGCATAGGTAATTGTTTAGGCCCCTATAGTAGGTTTCTTTCAGGGGCTGGTATAACGGCTCCTCGGAGGGTGCTGCAAGGATTTCTTCGGGAGGATTCATAGGGGATCCCACAAGCCTCAGCCCAAAACTCTGCGTCGAACGCGAACACCCAAGAGCCCTGGAGAGGCGGCACCTGAACTCCCAAAACCCAAAAAAACCGCGAGACCAGCGCACCCCGCACCACGAAACCGGAAAACTCAGAACTCGATAGACCTCTGAGCCTCGAAACCTAAGGACCCCTCAGACCGGGAGCCTTGCATTCAAGTGTTCGAGGGGGGGGGGGGGTTCAGGGTGGGGAAGGATTAGGGGCTTATCTCCAGAGAAGAGTAATGTAGGGGCCTAAATCAAGTACCACAACGATTTTGGGGGGCTCCTTAATATAATTCTAATATACATGGGCACCGAAACGGCAAAAACCCTATTCCAATTATTCAGGCCCCTATATTATGTGCGGGTTCCCAGGACCGGTGGGCAGCTAGTGACGGGAGACATCCCTGAACCCTAAACCCCAAACCCTAAACCCTAAACCCCTAATCCCTAAACCCTAAACCCCTAATCCCTAAACCCTAAACTCCAAACCCTAAGCCCTAAACCCCTAATCCCTAAACCTCTACTCCCTAAACCCTAAACCCCTAGTCCCTAAACCCTAAGCCCCTAAACCCTAAACCCTTTGCGCTGGGCAGGAACCAGGCGCTGTTGGGCGTTTGTCTCCTCGCCTTGGACTACTTGCTTGGCTTCTCGGCTGCGAGGAAAGGGAGCCTTATGTGGGTAGTTCTGTAACTCAGGGCCCCTTTTTTGGGTCCCAAGTATACGACAACGGTATAAAAAGGACCCTAAAAGGGACCCTAATTTAGTAAAACTACCCACATGCCCATATGGTGGAGGTGTGGGGTCAAGGCATGAGGGCCTATGGTTTTCAGGGGCATAGGATTGTAAATCTCCCTGGCTTTTGGTGTGGGGGCGCGTGATGATGATGATGATGATGATGATGATGATGATGATGATGATGATGATGCTCGTTTTGATGACGATTCTGGAGAGGACGGCATTGGTGATGTGGCGGTGATGGTGCCGATGGCGATGGAGGTAGTGATGGCGTCCATCATGATGATGTTGATGGCGGTGGTCATCATAGGATTCTGCAGCGCAAAACCTTCCAGCCCCTCTAAACCCCAGCCCCTCTGACCCAAAGGAACTGCTGCCCTTCTGGTGGTCACAAGCTTGACACCCGGCTCTTCAAGGCGAGGGATTCTGGTGTAGGTTCGAGGAGGTTCGAGGGTTTGGGTTTCGGTTGAGTCTTTGAGGGTTTCTGGGAGTTGCGATATTTTCCTGATGCCGAGCAGACGGCCAGAGGACAGGGGGCAAGGCTTGCTGAGAGCGTGTGGCCGTTTACCTCA